AATGACACACTAGGGCATTATGTCACACTATTAATCTGAACCATGTTATCCATTAGGAAAACGAGTGATGAGGCTAAAAATTTATTCGAACGAAGCACTTCTCGAGTTTGGTTTCAGATCTTTATATTTGCAGCTGCTCTGTGTGAGCAACTCAACAATCTTACCTTCTAGATTTTAATACTGGCATGAATTTAGTCCTTTCACCACACGGACGGTTTCAAAATCCTTCTCCGACCTTGATCGCTATTGAAATTCTTCAGCATTACCGCATCTAGCCATTAATCCCTGTTCTGCATGTTGTTTCCGTGCGCTCACCTGCGTTTGCAGTTATACATCTCACGCTGCGTGGCTGTTACGCTTCACTTCTGTGTGTTTTGTCGGTGGACGGTGAGACGCGACATCATGGATCATGGGTGCAGTATAACCCTAGTTTCTGCAAAGTCTCCATTTTGCCGTAACCTTCCCAGAGTTTCTGTTAAAATGATCTGAATAGCTCTTATAGTGACTAAGATTTTCATGAGCATAGCTATCTCGTTGTCTTACTAGTTAGACAGTTGAATAGCCCTGCTCATAAGAAATTCTCTGTATCGTTTGATGTAAGAAGCATGTGTCAAAGTCCAGTGGGTCGAGGGAAAGCGAAGAAGGATTTTCGCTGTCCCTACAGAAACTGAAGGATGAAAAGCAATAATACAGAACATGTAAAGTAAGAATCTTTCATATTACTTGTTTGTCAAACCAAGCAGAGCCCACCGTGAGGAGCAAATTCACTTGGTAATCCGACTAGTTCTCTGAATTTCAGCTTGGTTGTAAGGCAATAGAAATTCTCAGCCCCTCACATCAAACGCTGAACTCAAATTCAGTACGAAAAGGAACTATACAAAGCAGTATCGATCAGTTCAATGCTGTAATCAACACATCAAGTTTTTGAATTCTGTCAGACGGAAAATTGTTGTGGTTGACTGGGTAAAAGTTCCTCGGACTTCTTCTGATCTTTGTATTTTGCTGTTATAGAAAATGGCTGATGCGTTCAAAAAATACGATAAGATGCAAAAATCTGGTGAGTAGCAAGGAAGATGACAAAAACCTTTTTCGCTGAGCTCTCTCAGTTTTCCACCAGCTTTGAAAAAGAATATGATCAAACTCATTCATGTTCATGAACCAATCATTTTTATCCAAAACAGGATGTACTTAAAGGTCGTTGGCTCGATAATTCCCTGAGACGAGTAGGATTAATACGTCTGGCAGGACGGAATCCCGCGCCCCGAGCAGGCGCTGCGTAATGCCTTTGCCAGGAAAGGCCCTTATAATGCACAATCAAGCTGCAACATACCGACCCGGACGCCCCGCTCGCCCGCTCGCCCACAAATGGACGACCGTACCTGATGCTCGTATCGCTTCATTTGCGTAAAATATGACGGGAAGGGATTGATAGGCTGCGGTACTACATAGATACATATTTGAGTACGCACATGCAACCGTATCCACCGTAGGGGTTATGTCGCGATGCCTACGGGAAACTCGTCCGACATTGCTTATTGAGTCATTGAGAACAAAGGCTTCTTCGCAGATTTTTGACTGCTTCACTTCGTTTTTTCGCCACTTCCCTACTTTGTAGCACCCTGATAGCATTCCAGACCAAGTACCAAATTATCGTGCCATATGCCTTTAAAAGCAGAAGGGAATTATCACGGTCAGTTCGTCACGGAAGACGCAGAAGCTTTCGAAATGAAGAAGTTTCAAAGGATTCCATTCTAGTTTTTTCCCACTAAAGTGAACCATAATCTCGCGGAACATTTGGGACAACCAAGTCGAAATTGGGAAGAACAACCAAGTTCATGTTGGAAACAATTTTTAGCTACAGTGGGTGTAATAGATAGTGAAAGAAATCAGGAATTCATCAAAGAACTCATGATTCGTCCAGGATATTTCTGGAGTAGGATTCAGTATGAGAGAAGGTGTAGTATTAGGTTGTCCGGAAAGTTCTGAGAAAATTTCACACTTTTAGTTTGAAGGAGTGTAGCAAGCGAATGCTCCAACAGAAAGTTATATATCAAGTGCTACAAGAAAGAGAAATGTTTGTAGATCAATGCTTATGCTGGTAGTTATTATTCTCCACTGCTGGTACGATTTGACATTACCTGAAAAATGTACGAACGCGCACTACTCTCAGTGCTTTTTCTTCATCTTCACCGTTCTGGCTCCTCTATCGGTAAAATCCCTGGGAATGAGGAACCGCCTCTGATACTGATGAAATGCGCTTCAACATTATCTAGGAGATCAATCGGTCTTTTCCATACAAGTTTAGCTTAGATGTTGCGTACGCCCCCTTACTCGCTTAGTTCTAGCTCCCACGCAAGGTAATCTCGTCCAAATATAAGGGACATAGGATGGACAATATTCATTATAAATATGAACCACTATCTCTTATTGTTGTTGACAAGTGTTAAATGAGCTGGTTGGAATTTCTCAAAACTTTCCGGACACCCTATTAACACCCAACAAATCGGAATAGTTCAGGAACCATCTCAGGGTCAGCTTTGTGGAGTAAATGGAAAATAGCTTATTGAGCAAAATATCTGGGTTAGGTTCTTTTTGTGTTTCATATTTGGAATTCGATAAGTTTGATGAAAGCGGTACTAATTAGAGCGAGCTGCCTCTGAGTTTAGGAGGTTTGAGTTTATCAGCTCAGACTGAAACCTATCTAGAAAAAAAAGAGTAGAACTGTAAAAAAGACTTCTTTTTGGCCTGGATTTCTCTAAATTCCTCCACGAGGACATAAAAAAGATCTTCTCTCCAGTGCCCGTAACTTAGTAGTTGAGCTTCCCGGAAACATGTGGAGCTTTCATGCTCAGAACCATGGGTCAGTCTTATTTTCGAGCTATTCAAACCATTGAAACTCTAAGGGAAGGCAACAGTTGGTGACGAATCTGTCGCCAGTAGTCAATTTTGCGGAAATTGATGGTGATGTTAATAGTAGAAGGAAAACCTAGTACGAATACCTTCGTCATTACTTCGAAAACTCGTTGATCCATGCTACGCTATCTCGCTGTCTATACTGACAAGCTGATCATTGTGTAACATTTGTATTGGTTTTACAGATTGCGCAGGAGGTGGCAAAAAACGCCCGAAAACTCGAGTTTGTCGGGTTAGGGTTGTCATTAGTCAGCCTTATAGTTTCAATCGGCATATTCTCATATTTTCGGTAGGTTTTCTGTTTATTTTGCCTTGATTTGCAAGGATGTCATAGTTCATTGAACATGTTACGTTGGCAGGAAAGTTCGTCGATAGAATGAAAGCTCTTTTTTAATTCTCTTGTAATTTTTTTTTCGAATGCAGCAAGCCTTAGCTTTAGGTTTTTTGAGAAGATCAATTATCTTCATTTACCTTTTGGGCATATCACTGTTGCCTTTTGTTAAAAAAAATCAGCAGCTTGTGACTCAAAGAAATCCCTGACTATCAGTTCGAGTTTGAATTCCGCTCCCTTGCAGATGATGTCTTCGCGAGTGGTCCAGGTGCCAGAAGGCACAGGGTTATGGGAAATGTCATGGGCGAACAAGTGGAAGTGAGCTGCGCCCTGCGATTTTTTTACGGTCTGAATGTATCCAGAATGATATTTGGATCCGTTTTGAAGGGCTGCAGGCTCATTTTTCTTTGATCGTCCTGGACATTTTTTGAAACTGTGCTGAATATTTGCCGGTTGGTAAATGTGAATCATTTTTTCCTCGATCGTCCTGAACATTTTTTCGAAATGTGCTGAATATTTGCCGGTTGGTAAACGTGAACAGGAGCTACGCTGTCTGGCATACATTCAGCAGCTGAACTGTGAACCTCATCGTAATCTACCAGATCAAGAGGAGAGCTGGCGCTGGGGAGTTTTTAACTGTTGGTAGGATGTTGAGGCGCAGTTTGTCGACGGGAGGGGGGCATTTTGCATTTCGCTACTTCCCATTGACGTGTCGGCCTATCTAGACAGCCTCTTCTCAAGTTGACAGGTTTCAGCATGATGGCCTGACTACCTTGCTCCAGCTTCACAAGAGTTCACAGGTTTCGCCAGAGTGATACATGTAAACCGGAACTGAGGAAGCAATGATAGTGCAAAATGCCCCTCCCCTCGACGAAAAGCGCCGGCTGTTGATTCTACGGAGACCAAGCAGGGGCTGGCTTATTGCTCCATCGAGTATCCAGATTTCATGTCCGAAATTTTGAGGGTGCTGGTAGGCGCCTCCTCTTTAAAATCGAAACTGATGTACAAAACGGTGAAAGCTCTCGTGCACTTACACAAGATTACAGCGATGGAGTGGGCATGGCTTCGTACTCCACTTGAATATGGCGCAGGATGCATTGTTCGCGGAACATTTCCATGCGATGCAATTGTGTTCTACCTTGGAGTAGAAAAAGACATGTTTTTCTGCAACTGCAATATCCTTCTAGAAGCGCAGCTGCCACTACGTTCAAAAGAAATAGCAGCCACAGACTCCCCATCCATGGGATGTAGAGTGAATTGATAGATTCGACTGTGTCTTAAAAAATCGCCATATCTGATGCAGTATCCGCTCCGTTTACACAGACATTTCGAACTCTTTACATTTATCATTTCGAATTCTTTGTCGACGATTTTTTTCTGCCAACCTGATAGAACAATTGGGGCGGCTCAGGGAGGGGCATGTTGCTAGTGTTCTAATTTCTTTCGCTAGTCCCTGCTAACTTATCTGTTTCAACTTGTGGGGACCGACAAATTCCCGCTAACAAGGTCTCGCTTGTATTCACAAATTCTCGCTTGTAAGCATTAAAACATGCTAGCCTGGATAACTTTATAAGAGGTTATAGGGCCCCTGAGGAAGGATCGGCAATGATCGATCGGAACTAGCAACATTCCCCTACCAGGCCGAGGTGCGCCTAGAATAAAAGTTGTGTCATTCTCCAAAAAACCCTCATTTTTTTGTTTAGTCATTTATTTAAGACGACTGCGGGTCTTCCGGAACATGTTGCATTTGCATTTGATGATTGCTATCCTCATGGTCGTCATTATTCGCCTTGTCCTATATATCGATCTAATTTTCACGGGAAGCCATGGCCCGCACCAAAGTCCTTCGGACGGGAAAACTATTAATACCATGGTGAGTGCTCTACAGACATAAATCAGCTAATATGGAATTTCCTACTAAGATGGTTACAAAATGTCAGACCTTTTCCAAACGCCAATCAAGCTTACTCCTTCCTTGATTAAGAACTGAACGTCCCTCATGTTGTAGTCAAGATCATTTCACATTGTCCTAGATTTCGTTCTCCTTCACTTGCACGACGTTGATGTGCTCACCAGAGCAGCTCTTCCACGAAACGACCAACCTGATCATGTTTCGAAGGGTTTGCTTGAAACTTTGTTATAGTACGGTTTCAGGGTAGAAAACCAAGCAGAATACATGATTGGACAGTAGGGAAACATGTTGGTGCAGCGGTAAAGAGCGAACATGGAAAATCTGCCAAAACTCGGAAAATCGAAACTTTCATTCTGTCAGTTGTTTTTAGTAGCCGAAACAGATTACGACTAAAGAAGCGGTCCTTCGTAGTAGATTAATCCTTTGGCTGCCACAATTTCAGCATCTTGCTAACTATTAGGTTGGCCCATAGGCACCGGTTTTTTCCTTACACAATTTTTCTTATGAAAAGTGAAAATCGTCTCCAACGTGTCCTATGCTGTGATAGGCAATTTTCTGCTCTATGAGAGAACATAATTGCCTTCCTACCTTTTCTTGATTTCTTTCTAAAGGTCGCCTATTCCTTCAGCTCCAACAGTATTTTTCCGGGGTCAGAGGATCGCTACTGTGTTTATTAGGTAGAGCACTGCAGAGATAACAACAGCTACTATATTGTTGGTTAATTTTCATTTTATGCTCGGCTTGGAATCGTCGGAAGAAAAAGCCACAACATTTACAAGAGTCACTTATTCTCCAAATGGAATCGTTACAATCATCGCGTTGGACTGATTCCGCAAGACTGCTTGGTTTCTCCGCTTCTCTCGCAGTCCATTCCCTTCGTTTATCACATCCCCGGCGATCACTGTTTGTTTCACATAGGGGGGGGAGGTACATACACTATAGACGAATACTCAGACATGACCCCATTATTTCGGCCATTATTTCGGTTTGCAGACTAATAGATCAACAGAATCGCAGCCTTTCTTGCATCCGCATTTCTGTTCCCTTTTTCCGCTTTGAATGGTTACCCCTATTCACTTACCCTTACCATTAGTGCGCAGCATATGCCGTACTCTGTGCATAGTATGCATGCAGAGTGTCGTATGCAGAGCATTTGGACCTAACTCATTGCATGCAGCAGTGACATCTTTCACAGAAGTGCAAAAAAGGCAGCTGCAAATCCCGCCGCGAGGTTAATAAATCACGAGAAGTAGCCCGAGAAAGTTAGTTACTCTGAGAGCGAAACATAACGTCGTGCATAATGCCTTGGTAATTAAAAACTTCTTCGGGATTCGATGGGTTTGTTCGACTAGGAGTACCCATTAACAAGCTTAGTTTTTTTTAAAACTTGTGATGTTCATGTTTTCGGAATGGGGACCATACACTATTGTTCGTTCTTCTTTGCTCTTTGTATGTTGCTGACTGTATTTGCTGTGCTAGTTCACCACACAGTTCCTCTGTGTAATAAAAGAATGGAAGAAAAAGAAAGGTTTTCCATTTGATACTATTTACTCGAAATTCAAAATTAGTATTTCAGCCGTTTGTATGCGAAGCGATGTATTTCCTCCTTGAGTATTTCAAGACTGTTGCCTTTGGATGGATGTTCTTAGAAGGTTTTTATTTGCACAACCAATTGGTGCTCACCGTCTTCAACTCAGAACCACGACTGACACCGTATTTGATAGCCGGATACGGTAAGACCCTCGCTACCTCCATGCGCTCTTTAATCAGGAACACTTAGAATTTAATTACTAGTACTAAATATCACTCTATTTTATAAAGCGGAAGTTTTGTGTGTCGGTTTGTCTGTATCCTACTCTATATAATCCGCTAAGTATGTCTGTCCGTGTGTGTGTATGTTTGTGTGTGCGTCTGTCTGTGTGTCACGAAATTCATAGCGCCTGTCCCAGTAGCAGTGAGACAATGATTTCAAGAAGTGATGTACAGGGTGTGACGGGAACACTATTGTACGTGACAGGAAGTTGTATGCAACTTGATAAGATTCGATAAGGGGCTGTAGAGGAGGTCACTATAATCATTAACGCAAGTGACAGCATCAGCCTGCTCTCGATTTAAGATATGACATAGAGGATAGTCAAGAACATCATTAGCGGGTCACAAAAGCTGAAAGCTGCTGATAAGATTCGATAAGGGGCGTTATAGAGGAAAAGTTACGCATATTCACAGCGCAGTCACAGCAGCAGTCAGCTCTTGATTTCGAGATATGATATAGGATGGGGGCCAAAATCATTATTGGTGGGTAACAAGAGTTTGTGAGCTGCTGATAAGACTCGATAAGGGACGTTAAAAATTGGGGGCCGTATTCATAGCGCAGGTCACAGTATGCAGCGAGGCGTGCGTTTCAGCAAGTGATATAGAGAGTGAGTTGGGAACAACAACCGTGGGTGACTAGAAGCGATAACTACTGAAAGGGGCTGATAATGGGAGCTGCAGTCGTCGTCGCTGTTCAAGGCGGTTCACGCTCTCAAATCATAGAGATTTAAGTGATTGAGGACATTGATGACGGGTGACAGGTAATCTTATCAATCGATAAAAATTGATACCTACCATCTGCGCTAACCTCTCACCGCTTTAATGCCGAGTATTCGAGCTCAGATTGTGAAACTTTCCTTTGGCCAACACTTTCCTGATAACACTAGAAAATGAACTTATCCACTATCCTACTCTATATAATGTCGATGTCGTCCAGCGGGGCACACAATAACTATGCAACGCACAACCCACGGGCGTACAGAATGCGTATAGTGCATATAAAACAAAAAATCAATACAACCCTCACTTTTCTAGGAGAAAAAATCAACTATCAAAATAACTTTGTCTTACCCCACCCCAAATACGACCCCCTGCTTAGAGCAAAAGTACCTCATGTTTTCACATGTGTTTCACACAAGGATGCTGTACCCTGTCTGTGTTGTATGGCCGTTATGACGCGGATCGCAAGTATAAGCGTTTACTATAGAGACGCAGGATCCGCAGGGTTGCTCTATCTGTTATGATTGTACCAATACAGAGCTGTATGAGCAACGCAACGATTAAAAGAGTTCCGTTCCCACATTATGGAGCGCGCGCTGGCGAAGCCAGGCCAGTTCGGCGAAGCCGAGCCAGAGAGAAGGAGGAGAGCTGGGCGTTAGCCGGGCGATCCGACTGGTACATTATAGGCTGCTTTCAGTGGCTGTCCAAACAGGCTGCTTTCCGTGTAGGTTATGAACGTACCAGTCGGATCGCTGGCTAAGGCCGACTTTCCTCCTTCTGTGATGCGGGGGGGGGTTGGCTGCTGCTTCTGGCCGCTCTTGACGAAACCAAGCGCTGCTTTTCAGTTCTGGCTGATGCAGAAGATTCCTTTGAACAGTGTGGTTGGTCAACGATCCTTAACGCTAGCACGCGGCAAATCCGCATTGGCCGGCGAAGCCGGGCACATGTCACAGCAGGAGGAGCGCCCGGCGACAGCCGGGCGATCCGACTGGTGTATTATATTGTCCGTCCGCAAAATGGTTCACGGAATTCAGCATGTAACTGAAAGGAGAAAACGACCGTTAGCCAATCCAGAAACCTTTCGGTGCAGATGTATTAATCCAATGTTTTGAATGCGATAACTCCACTGTATAAGACAACCACTTAGTGCACTCCAAACCATTGTATGGGATGCTCGCGTGGCAGCTGGACGTGAGCACCTGCAGTGGGGCAGGGTAGGGAAGGGCAGGGGTTAGAGGGCATGGGGAAGAAGGAGCACAGCACAACGGTGGAAACAGAGCATTAGTGACGGCGACAAATAGAAAAAAGGAAGGATCAACCGCTAGCAAAGTTGTGAGGCAATCTATAATGTGCTATCAATTTGAAGTGATATTTCGGATGTGGGAACACCCTGTACTGTATAAGATAACCATTTGCTGTGTTCTGAGCCATTGGACGTAGTGCTCGCGTGGCAGCTAGACGTGAGTGCAGAGAATCAGGCCAGGGAAGGGATTGAGACCTTCGGAGGAGGGGTTAGGGTTGGTGGGGGTACGATTGGGAAGACACCGCAACGGTGGAATCAGAAGCAGGAAGGTTCAACCACTGGCGGAGTTATAAACGAATTCATGCCGTGGTATCAACTGGAAGTAATGTTTTGAATGTGATATCACCCGGTATTTGAATGTGATATCACCCTTTTACTTTGGAATTTTAATTACTGATGAAAACAATAATACTGGAGTAGGGATTTATGTTACAACTAATACGCAGCCGGAATATTAGCATCTGCAATCTTTATGCGACGTAATCAATGGATTGCATAATAGAAAAGAAAAGCGCTGTTCGGTAAGCGTTCCGATGCAGATAGGAAGCGAGATTTATCCATAACCCACCCCTTCTACAACAATAACACTGGACTCAGGAGTGGAAAATTCGCTGGGTTGCTCTATCTGTTACGATTCGTTAAATACAGCTCAAAACGAGCAGCTCAGTGAATGAACAAATTCCTTTTCCATCATGAACTGAGGTCCAGGCTAAACTGGACGAGGAGAGCTCGGTGTAAGCCGGGCGATCCGACTGGTTAGATCATAAAGAGACACGTGTCCAGTTTTAAGTGTTCTTTTCTATGTTACTTTCCGCGAAGTTGCTGTCCCGTCGGCATGTTGGACCTTGGGTAGGCGCTATGACGGCGTCCTTGGTTGGGAAAGGCGCCCCGCAGCGCCTGCTCAGGGCAGTGCGAGACTTATCGACCCTGAACGCCTTGTCGATGTATTATGCCACTTGCCTTTGAGTTGAAGTGGGATATCTTGAGTATAACGATACATGGGTTATACCTACAGTGAGTGCTGGGGCGGAGTGCAGCTTCCGGGCTCCGAATGCGCCCTAGTGTCTAGCCTGGTCGGCCGTGATAGGCGTGGTAGGAGCTGCTAGCACATGCTTGTGATTACGGCGCCATTTATCAGAAATTTAGCATAACATACTTCCGAAGTGAATAGTGATTAGAGCAGTCCATTACCTCTATCCTTCTATTCTATAAAGCAGCAACTTCGTGTGTCGGTTTGTCGGTATGTATGTATGTATATGTATGTTTGTTTGTTTGTATTTCCGTCCGCAAAATGTTTCTCGGGTTCGAACGCGATAGTGTTAGGAGAATACGACCGCTAGATAAATCAGAAACTGACTGGTGCAGATGTATCAATCCAATGCTTTGATTGTGATAACAGCCTTGCTGTATAAAACAACCATTTGGTATACTCCAAGCCATTGCACAAGCTGCTCGCGTGGCAACTGGACGTGTGCTCGGGCGGGGGCAGGTGGGGTTGAGGTGGGAGGGGGGGGGGAGTACTAAGTAGCCCCTACCTCTGCTTCCTTCCCCTCCACGTGCTCAGTCAGACCTGAGCACGTGCAAGGATGAGGCAGGAGGAATGGGGTGGGTGAACTGGGTGCGGTGGTCGGAGAAAGGGGCGCAGCGCACGATTGAATGCACGCAGCAAAAGAAGAGGATGACCGCTAGCAAAAGTGCAAGCTCATCTATAATAAAGTAACAAACAATAGTAAGATGTCGGTTTGATTGTGATGATGCCCTCAACAATATAAGAAAACCATTTACTACACTCCAAGTCATTGCGCAAGCTGCGTGGCAGCTGGGCGTGGGGTCGTGCGGGGGCTGGGTCGGGTGGAAGAGAAGGGAATAGCATGTAACCTTTCCTCGTGATTCCCAGCCCTGTACGTGCTCTGCCGTAGCTGAGAACATGCACGTGAGGGAGATCGGGGAATGGGTCCGGGTGAAGGGTGTACGATGGGGGGGGGACGTAGCGCACGCTTGAGTAGGAGCACGCAGCAAGCTGCTCGCTTGACAGCTGGACGTGAGCTCGTCCGTGGGATGCTCCATTCATTACGATTCGATCAAAACAGTGCAGTATGAGCAGCTAAGTGAGTGAACAAATTCCGTTTCCATCATGAAGTGCGCCTGGCGAAGCCAAGCCAGCTGAAGAGAAAGAGGAGAGCTCGGCGCGATCTGACTGGTAGACCGATATTCGGCCAAAAAATTCGCAGTCACTTCGGGTTTGACCTTCTGCTCAAACCTGAAGTGAGTGAGAGTTCAAATCCGCAACCGGTGTAGGTCGCCAGCTACCTGTCACTACTTTAGTGTTCGCAAGTACCTAGGTGTGACATAGGCCTGCGTGACCGCGAGTACGTGGGAAAGCATCCTGGACCTTCTGTTCACCGAAGTATTTCTACCGAAGACTCGCTTAACGAGTCGTTAGCATTATTCAACAACCACAAAACATAAATTGCTCTTTTTTGGCTCGGCGCGCCCAGCTCCGTTATTTCTCTTTTTTCGTTCAGTTTGTTACCGTGACTGTGGCAACAGGTGTCCTGACAAATGGGTAAAAGTCGAAATACGTTAGGAGAGGACTCGTGGGCGCCACTCAATCATATGATTCCGGAATGTGAAAACATTTTTTGTCAAAAGTTTGTGTACTGGGATAACCGATGCCTTGATCGTGCTTATAACGTCTATACTCGGCTTCGATGCCACTCGGCATTATGTAGCGTAGAAAAACTTCAGAACATGAGCTTCAGTGTTCAGATTCGATGGGAGAGAGCAGCGACGCCAAGTTGGCGAAGAAAGACTCCGGAGTCAGAAGTGTGCCCTATATTCATGGGGACATTAATTTGCTACAAAAGTCATGTTCAAGAGAGTGTTTAGCCGTCATGTTCCGGAAATGTAGCACTGAAGTCTAATACCTCTCACCGGCTCTCGAG